ATTAGAATCCTATCTAAACGTAGGTATTCTCGCTCGCTTTTTGCTGATGCACGAACGGAGATCTTGGAGATCCTCTGAGGAAAAGCATCAACAGACTGCGACAACTAATTTCAATCTGCACGCTCCATCGCCCTCAGTACGCATTGTACCAACGACGATGTTGGGCCACTCATCGATCCGAGAAGTGAGACGGTAGCATCATGCGTTGTGGACTACCCGCACGGATTTCTGTGTGGTGCTTACATCCATCCCAATACACGTCATATCTTCATTTGAGCACCTTGGGTCGACGGTCCAGACTCCCAACGAAACCAGTGTGCGATGGAGTAAACGCCTCGTGGGCCTTATCTACTGCCTCCTGAGCCGGCCCCATCGCGCAGCACTAACCTGTGCACATCATGGGATTTTTTCATCCAACAGCGATGGGCTTCACGAACGAATCGCGATGGTCAAACAAAAGCTGCCGAACAGTCCTAGTCAGGCAGCTCGTATCTGATAATTCTGATCCGAGCACGACGAGCTGCACATTGTGCTGGACGATCCGCAGGGAACGTATGGGGCCAGCCTGTACGTGTGGAAAGATTTCCAGACGGATAAGTCAGTACATGTAATAGGAAACGAGTTGAATTCTACCCGGCGAACGTTGGAGGAGAAGTGCAGCGCCACTTGTTACAATCATAGCGATCAGCATCACCTGCGATGGCATGCCGTGTCGGCGGTGTCGCCTGTCGACACGACTCGTTCTATAGAAATAGATTCAGTCCTTCTTCGAAGTCGACACCCACCTATATAAACTTCTCCCCTTCCAACCACCATGTCCGCTACTCCTACCAACAGACCTCCCCCCCTGAACGTAGGCGAAGAGGCGAGTCGCTCTGCATCCCCGCGCTTTGCGATTTATACTGATATCAATCTGGTCAGCTAAAGCACGCAATGAAAAACATCAAGCACGAAAGCGACTCCGAGGCTCACAGGGTATTATTCAAACTCTAAGTTGTTGAATACATTTGGAGTCTGACGTCGCTTGTGGACTGCTATCTGTAGATCTTCCGTGAGTACGCAGGACATGCACCTAGAGGTCTTCTTCCCCAGACGGTGAACCCCGTACGCATGCCTTCTTTCTCATGCTATTTTCAGCCTCTCACTTATGCTTTGCGATTAGGATGAGGAGACTGTCCCCGGAATCCAGCACCCGGGCAGCACCGGTGTTATCTACTGCTCCGACCGTGCCATGGCGAACGGCTTCTCGTACGCCTCGTCCCACGAATGGGCCAACCTCGGTCAAGGTGCACCCGAAGTGGGACAGATCCCAGATTCCCCTGAAAAACCTCAGACCATCTCTGTCCCCGTTGACTCGCTGGAGTATGCACCGACGACGGGTGTGAAAGGTGCGTCACAGCGCTTCATCGTTTCGTTGCGATCAGTTCTTGATAACGTCAATTGGCACCGCATACAGCGCTTCGCGAGGCTGTCGCGAACCTTTACAACTACACATATCGCAAGGGCAAAGCCAGTCAATACACCTATGAGAACGTGTGCATTGTCCCTGGTGGACGTGCTGGCTTGTCTCGAGTCGCTGCAGTCATCGGTGATGTCTACACTGTGAGCAATAGCATGTCCCACTCACATAAGTCAGATGCTGAGAGGTTGTGTAGTCTTACCAGGTCCCTGATTACACTGCCTACGATCAAGTCCTTGGTGCATTCAAGCGTCTGGTCCCCGTGCCCACAACGTGAGTAGCCTGTACTGTCGTGCTGCGGACGCCATCGATAACATCATTCTCTTGATCAGTCTTGAAGCAGAGGTTAGCTCAATGCGCCATATCCGCTCATGAATAATGTCATCTAACCCGCGTCATGTGCAGGATAACTATCATCTCAACATTCAGCAGACAAGGGTAAGGATGATTATTCATGTTTCTTTGCTCCTGCTGCCAGTTCTGACAAGACGGAATACAGAAAGACATCCGGACCCAGGGTCTGCAAGTAATTCTCGCATCTAACCCTCGTAACCCTACCGGGCAGGTCATTCGTGATGGGGAGCTCAAGGAGCTGGTCGAACTTGCCCGTGATACCACCACGACGCTCGTCCTTGATGAGGTGAGGATTTCCTTGGATTTATCTCTCCTTATGATGCTCAAAAGTCATGCCTCCATAGTTTTACTCATGGTACATCTACCCGGAAAAGGAAGAGGATTACGGAAAGTCTGTCTCCTGCGCAGAATTCATCGATGATGTCAATTCTGTAAGTAGCTCTATCTGTAGATGCTTCTCAAGTCCAAGTGTCTGATGATGCGTTTCTATTGATAGGATCCCGTAGTTATTGTTGATGGGCTCACAAAGGTGCCGATTTCCCCGTATAATGGCGCGAGGCATCATAGCCTGATTTCCATGATAGAATTGGCGTCTTCCCGGCTGGCGAGTTTGCTGGGTTATGGGCCCAAAAAACCTGATCACTGCTCTTTCTCAATCTGGCTCCTTCCTCGATGGAGGCGCTAATCACCCGTAAGTGTGCGCTTCCCAGTTAGAGATATCGAATTTAACACATTGCTTGCGTAGCCTCCAGCTTGCGGCTATTCCGCTCCTTGATCCTGAGCGTGTCTTGGTAGAGAAGCTGTCCCTCCAAAGGCACTTCAAGCACAAGCGCGACCATGTCTTGAAACGACTTGAACAACTCGGGCTGAAGGTAAAGGTCCCGCCGCAAGCGACCTTTTACATCTGGCTCGACCTTGCCGATCTCCCTCCTCCGCTGAACAATGGCCTCGTAAGTTTTCTCGGGATTGAGTTGTGGAGAAGCTAACCGAAAGGTGCAGACGTTCTTCGAGGAGCTGTTGAAGGAAAAGACTATCGTCATCCCGGGTATCTTCTTCGATATCAACCCCTCGCACCGCAGGAATCTGTTCCTCTCTCCATGCCACCACTTCGTGCGTCTTTCATTCGGTCCCCCGCTCGAGGACCTTGACAAGGGTGCGTCTCGTAACCACTCCCTACACGCATTCTTCCCACTGATTTATTTTACTGCATAGGTCTCGATGCCATGTCCCGCGTGTTGCGCAATGCGAGGCAAGGCACGCGTCACTTTGGCCACAGCTACAAGAAAAGCATCGATTCCCCCACTGCGCTCTCACACCATATTTGAGCATTAAATTATGGGTTGAATGAACGATATATGTGTTGTACTACCTGCAGTCATAAATAGACGTGTATTAGGGCGGTTGCGGCGACTCGAAGTTGTCCCGCATCTATAACTATACGCACTTAGACTGAAAGTCACTCCGCAACGTCACCATCTTTTGATTTCCGGAGCAATGATGCTCCTCGCTTTCGTGAAGAGCAGACGCTGTATATATATAGGAAGGCAAGTGCTCGATGGGCATGCACGCAAGTGCTTATAATAGTATGCACCAGTAATTTGCACTCATTTTTAATATGTTAGCTGAATTTTCTGGTATCAATGGTGGAGGGTAAATTAATCGACAACATCGCGCATATTGGATCCCTTTTGCGCAGACGACCAGAACCTTTCAATGGAATCCAGGTACGTATTCTCACTTCATATATCTCTGTAGCTATTGAGAAAACATCAGTGTGTTCAGGTCGTTGTGACCGGTGACTTCTTCCAGCTACCTCCAGTAACAAAGGGTCAGAAGGCGAAATTCGCCTTTTAAGGCGGAGAGCGAAGAAAGACTATCAAGAAAACATTCAATCTCACAAGTATTTCGTCAACGTGATCCAGGTGAGCAGCGCCTCAGCAACAAAGACATGTGTTTCGCATAAATACTCACAAGTGATGGTATAACTTGTCGAGATGCTCAATGAGATGCGCAGGAGACTTACCCCCTGACGCATTGCCAGGTTTACAAGCCTCGCCAGAGATATCGTGTGTGAAGGACTTCGCCATTGGTAACCGTATGCGCTGATATAGATGCAGGAAGTAGGCTCTCCTCACGTGAAGATGTTGAGCGATATTATCGCGCGCCATTCGTCTTGCCGAGACAGTAGGAGAGTCCTAAGTATAGTGTCTTTAAGTGAAGCTCGGCTGCTCCGAGCAATCTCCGACTGATATTGATGTGGTCGTAACAGCCAACCTGCATATTAAGCTGAAGGGTCCAGCAGCCGCTTCTTGCGTCTCTCCTGAGCCCGCCTTTCCACGAGCAATCGTTCCTAGGCTAGTCGAAGTGTGCGCCCAGTGCGTTCCGTTGGTTCCATCAAAGCCTTACCTGCAGGTTATGTCTCCTGTTACGATCTTCCGCGACTAAGCTGGGCCGACTCGTGAAATCCGTTTACGAACGTAGTAAGCGCACGGGAAGCGCTGCGAGAACGGTGAATGCTAACGCTTGATATTCATGCGGGCTCTCGGACAGGATCACTTACGTGTACAGAACGTTGCGGCCTCCAACTTGCACTTTTTAAGGAGAGCGCCCCCTGCGCACGCGGCAGTCACACGTTGCAAAGCTCATGGTCCAACTCCCTCGGTCTGGGGCATCCGTGGCCGAGCTCGCCAATCGACCACGTCTCAGCGGAAACAAACATCAGGCGGCACCTCCCCAGTTCTCGTCCTGGGCGTGCCGACGCAGACTGGAGGGGGCCCGCGCGGCGAGTTGCGGGGCGATCGCAGGGTGATCCCTCCCGGTCATCATGCGCAATGCGCAACCGCCCCGGGACCCTGCATACCCGACCGCCGAACCGGGAACCCACGAAACGCACGCATATAGTCGAGGACATCGCGAAGGTGAGCAACGGGCATTCATATCGCGCCAAGCAGCGCTTCTGGCATTAGTTCAAAACCGCCCGCGAAACAGACATTATGAAGAGTTTACACATAGTCCTATTGGGACCCGTCTAGGGCCCCGCATGGTGCGGCGCAGTGCCGTCAATTATGAATACGAAAGCATTGCGAGCTGGAATCCGATACGTAACTGCGAAGACTTGCATATTTGTGCCGAGTGCGGTCCGCCGTAAAGCCGAAAACACTGGTTAAGCGAGAGAAGCATAAGATACTGGGCATCACGGCAAAGAGAGCACTCACGGACGACATGGGAGAAAGAGAACATTCGGGAGGAAGAAAACGGATGTTGCATAGCGGCTATGATCGAAAGTGCGACGATAACGTTAACGACTAGGACAGACAACAACATCTAGAGACGATTCACCCTTGTACATAGTAAGTGCGCGTATATCACCGTGATATATCCTTCTAATAACGAGATAGCATGAGGGTCATTAATTTTGTTCGTGTATTCATGGTGGGTTACTGCGAAGTGATGCACTCATTTACCTGGATGCTCATCGTTCCCCAGCTGAAGCCGCCGCGGTATGGCACCGATCCATTCATGACAGCCTCTTGCGATCGTTCCCGAAGGCGTCCCCACTCCATCCACCAGTTGTCCGCCTCATCCTCGCAGTCGTAGCCAAATATCGTCACGACATCGTGCCATTGCTCTCGCGACATGCTCTCATCGGTCGCGCCGTTCTCATCCAGGTAATCCATACCTGCATTCCGTGAATCCCGGAACGTCTTATCCCGAAGGTCAACCTCCGGCCCATCGTCCTGAGTGATGGCATATATGAAGTTGAACTCTGATCTGACACACGTCTCACAGCGTGCCTGCCGAAGATCCTGGAAGGCATTCAAGAACTCCCCAATCTGCTCCCGCTTGCTGAGGTGGGAGAAGAGCTTCGCGAGCACCGCACCATCCTCAACGGCCATGGCGGTTCCTTGGATAGTCCCGGGCTAGCACGAGCATTCGGATGAGCCTACAACTGAGCGCATTGTCATGGCAGGCACTCACAGCAATAGGGTGTGCAGCCTGGCCGATGACGACCATACGACCACTGTCATGCACCCAGGTTGGGAGGTTCTCGTGCTGGTTAATCGCGACCCGGATCACATTCTGCGCACTCTGCGCAACGTCCCATATGCTGCATTGTCGACTTGTTATCTTCCGTACACCGGAGGCTGATCATGCTATCGCACCTTTCTCCGCAAGGTTGTTTCATCACACGACGCAGCTCGGTTGTTGGGGGATCAGCATAGTTCCCATGGGTTCCTGGATCCTCCTGATGCCACACGAAGTAGTGGAACGCCATCTCCTTCCCGCGATTCTGGAATACGCCGATGAGTCATAATGATAAGCTCGTTGCGTATCGAACGGATTCTTACCACTGGATAGCCCGTCATAGCTCTCCTGTTGCCGAACGAAACGAAGATCGGATTCTATGTGGCGCCCGTGAGAAATCGTCGGAGAGAGCTAAATCCCCAGAGACTGACCTTCTCGAGGGCCACGTCTTTCAACACTTGCTTCGAAGCTGTTCTCGTTGCAAGGGATGTTTCGCACCGTACACTAGAGAATGTGGGGTGATGAGCCCAGTCAGCGGCCTTTGAACGGAGGACGGGAAGCGCTCACTCGTAGAGAACGGCGCCGGTTGAGACGACGCGTTCATTCCTTTCGAACAGTATCCGCCGACACGCCCCCCTTTCGCCATCCGCACCCAATATCACGTCGGCGGTAAGGATCTCCCCGGAAGCGAGTAGTACCGCGCCCTCGTCGGGGTCAATGTCGGCGACCGCCGTGTTATACCGTATCCTCACGCCTTTGGCTACTGCAATCTCGTGAAGAAAATTATACAAGGCATCGTGCTGGTCGATATGCAAGGGGGGTAAACGCGGGGCATGACTCGTGAGCGGATTGGCACGCACCGTCGTCAGCATAAACTCTCCTCTTGTGTCTTTCAACATCGCAGCGCTCCAGGCTTGCGTTCCCAGGATCTCACCAGTTTGGACTGCGAAAGCATGAGGGGGTGGCGTGCGGGTATATTGGGGCGCAACGCACGCTTGGTCATGATAACGGGCAGGGATGTTGAGGCTATCTTCCGCAGCTGCTCAGTAAAGCCCCAGTGGAAGAAGATTTTGGACATGTTGGGCGGGATTCGGATGCCACCAGGGCCCGTCTGTGTTGGGTGGTGTGATGAGCGGTGTGGGGGGTGTGCGCAGACGACGACGTACATTTGATGTGCCATCACCCTTTTCTAGAACGAGCACTCGGTGACCCGCGCGAGTTAGAGCGATCGCACTGGTGAGACCAGCAACGCCTGGTCGACGTGGGACTGAACACGGATCCGGGAATGAAAAAGGGCTGCTGGAGTGACTCACCGCCGCCCACGATCAAAAAGTCGATGCTTAAGGACGCTTTGGTCGACTGCTGCGAGTCGAAGGTGAGTTTGACGCCTGGAGACGAGCGAGGGGCAGGTGGAGGGATTACCTGGGCGTCCATGGCAGGCTCTGTGAAGGGGCGTTCGAGGGAGCCGGACTGGGGTAGCGACGGAAAAGAGCGTAAGGTAGGCCCATCGAGGGTGCGCCTAGGGCGGTATATATGTTGGGCGACCGGATCAGTGTCCAAAGACTCCAAGTTGCAACGATCTGCAGATTAGATCGCGGCTAAGAGCAGACGCCACCTGCGGTCGACTCCCTGGGTGCTGGCTGCACAGTTTTTCCCTGCTGGGAGTCTCAGAGAGGTGTCACTTGGCTGACGAGGGCTCCGGCTGCGGTGTGTGCCCGTCTGCAATGTAAGGCGGATGCACAGCGATCCCAATCGCTGCCTGCACACGCTTCCAGGCGCAGCGGAAGTAAACGTTGACTGGGCACCGCTGCGCGTATCAGGGCACGTGCACGGTCACGATGCCGAGGCGTCGCCCTCTCAGCCTCGTAGCGAGCAACGGCGCGCCACGACGTCCTCCTGGATTGGCCCGTGTCCCTCCCTCTCTGCACTCGACAATCTCTATCAGAACATCCCGGGCTCCCCTCGGCCACTCTCCCCGTGTCCAGCCCCCCTGGCCACCCTGGTCATGAAAACGTAATTTCCCTCCCTCCCATCTCCTTCCATCATCATCTTCCTCCGCCCGCCAGCGTCTGGACACCGTCATGAGCACAGAGTCTCTGGCCACAAGGCGCAAAAGAAGAAGGAAAAAACATAGGGATAACGATAATGCGTCCGTGCGCACTATCGTCATACGGATTCTTCCGCCGCGGAATATCTCGCGGCGTGAGATCATTTGGCACGGTGACGGCATCGGTCCCCCATCGTATGTACCGTGAACCCGAGCCTGGGGTGCATCCGCGATTTTCGCAGGTGGTGCCCCTGGAGGCCGCCGCCCGTCGTCCTCTCAGCGTTGTCTTTCACGGCAGTGGCCCTTTGTCTGCACAATCAGAGATAGTCAGTCTCAGGGTACTACCGCGTGGGTGAAATGCATCCTACAGTCTCATGAACAGGCACTCATACACCATCTTTGCCAATACGTGTATACAGGTCCTACGTTGCAGCCTGAGGCTGACCAGGGAGTACGACCGAGTGAATCGGCTGCAGCGGACACATCTCAGCAGGGGTACAAGTCACCGATCAAGCTGCAGTTCCCCGTCCCAGATGCCAACAGGAAAAAAGAAAAAACCACAGCTGATCGAGATTCTGCGGACAGACGCAATCTCAATCTGGCGAGTGTAGGTGCTCATTGCTTGGGCCATCACACTTGCGATAACGTACACCCATGGCCGTCGGAGTGCGACAATCGACCAGTAGTATACAGGGAATCTGTTTTGCTCAACCATTCGGCTCGGGTTGTGCTATCACGACCATTAATAGGTCGCCGTCGCCAGTGTCATACGTCGCGGTGGGCGAGGGGCATCGTTCCACTGCAGTCCCCGATTCGCTCACTTACCGGGTTTGTGTCGTCGATGACTGGACCCAGAAGAGCGCAGCTGCCAATTTTTTTTGCGTGCAGCTCCACAAAACTGGCACTACCTCGTAACGATCACTTGTGTGCCCACATGGTATGATCTTTCATTCGCTGTGCACGCCTTGCGGTCCGCGGAGGTTCGACTGTCCGGAGCATCGCTCTTCGCCGGACTTGATGAGAAGCCATTCATTTCGCTGCCTCACAGTTTTGCCACAAAGCTGCCGGTGTGGTGACTATTTTCACGAAGTTGGTGCTGTGGGGCGTGAAGATCGTGTTCGTACCCCGTCGTTCCTCGGCGCCAGTGGTTTGACGCTAGGGTAGACTTGTATAATGAATGTCAGTACAAGCCAACGCAGCGGGCGGGATCGACGCGAGCTGTCATCAAATCAAAAGGCATACAGTGGCAGCCAAGAGTGATTCCACACAAACTAAAAGTCAGTATTACTGGGCTATCCACATAGCAGTGCAGCAATTCTCTTGGTAGTTATAGAGCAGAACATGACTGTATTGTGTGCACAAAGCACTGTAGACAACAGCTTTGATTTGTGAGATATGAAGGAACGAATACAACATGTGCGGGCACTACTTTTGTCCGCCGCTGTATTGTTATGCGGTGCCTTGCCAGCTGACTCCGTCTCGTCCTTACATCTAGCGTCAGGAATGATCTTGATCCGGGATTTCGTTCCGTCGATGACCTCTCTCATGATCCAGCATCCTACCGCGTCCGGGGACCGGGTAATGCAATGATGCGGCTCGTACTTCCTGCAGCTACACCTGCTGGACACCTAGCAGCAAGTCAGGAAACCGCGCGACACAGTGTCTCGCCGAGACATGGACACATTCGGACACTTGTCGGCCGCCCAGGACGCAAGCGGAGCGAGCAGTTGCGCTCTCGACGCCTTGTTTGATTGGACACCCCGCTCCCGCTCCCGCTCCGATGCCCGTCGGCCTCGGGGCTTGTCCACCCTGGGCACCATCAGGGTAAGTTGTGGATTTCTTAATTGTCCAACATTGTAGTTACTTTCGTGAGCGGAAGTGTGTGTGCACCGAGAAGGCGGCGCGAAGGTGGATATTGTTGCGTGGCGGGAGGATTGCGGAATGGAAGCGACCGTTAATCGCTGTCAGACTTCGAAGCCTAGAGAAAATAGCCTATACATTCAGCATGCATTCAATGGGACGTGGTATTATAACAACGTGGGATCCTCATCCAAATCAAGATTCCGGTATACTATCTGCAAATTGACGCATCAGCGCAAACAAGACCACCCGCGCCGGACTATGCGTCGACACATCCTGATTTACGATGCGCGCCGTTTGAACTCGTCGTTGAACTCGCGTCCGATAAGCATCCGCCTGATTTCCTGCGTGCCCGCGCCCACAGTGTATAGGCGCGAATCGCGCAAGAAACGGCCGGTGGGATAGTCTTCACGTTCCGCGAAGATGGCGATCGGGTGGACTTGTCAGCCACGCTGTCCCGGCTGCAATGCGCGCACGTACCATTGATATACCCGTTCCCCCCTAGGCATTGCATGGCCTCGAGAGAGACTTCGACAGCACGATCGGAAGCGTACATGAGTGCGCCCGCGCAGTCCTACAGACGACATCGACCCACCATGACGCGACATGAGATGAGATAGGGAGTAGTAGCAATCAGAGACCTACCCGCCGGCTGACTTTGCCTGCGTCACACATTTTCGCCACCGCGTATACATACGACCTAGAAGCATTCAGCTTCGTGTACATATCCGCGATCTTCCCTATCGACAGAATAATGGGTGAATATCGGCGCCGAATCGCACACCCTACTGTAACGCTGACCTTGCATCAGCTGGAACGTCCCGACAGGCTTGTCAAATTGTTTACGTTCGTGGATGTAATCGATGGAATAATCGAACGCCGCCTGCATCAGCCTTCAAGCATGATTGATAGACATATATTAGTATGACTCTTTTCAGAGGCTGGGTGACAAACCCGAGGGGACCTCCGGAGAGTACGAGGCGCTCGAGGTCGAGGCCGGACATGAGCACCTCAACTCCTCCGTTAAGTTTCCCGAGGATGTTTTCTGTGCGAAGACGAAATTTTTAGGTGCACCTACTGCTGGGAAGGCAAGAGAGTTACCCTCTGGTACGAAGCACTCTTCAAAGACGAGCTCGCACGTATCGCTGCCCCTCATTCCGAGTTTGTCCAGTTTTTGATGCGTGGAGAATCCGGAGAACCCGCGCTCGATGATGAATGCGGTTATCCCTCGCGAGGCCTTTTCTGGCGCTGTCTTGGCGTACACGACCAATGTTGATGCAGTAGGGCCATTGGTGATCCTTGTGAACGGAACCACCAGAACATGAGAATGTAAAGCTAGAGCAACGAATCATGGAGTGAACATACCAGAACTTGTTTCCGTTGAGAATCCAGCCCCCATCGACTTTGTCCGCCTTGAGCTTCATGCTCACGACGTCGCTGCCGCTTCCTGGCTCGCTCATAGCCAAACTGCCAACCTTTTTGCCTGATATCAAGTCTGGTAGGTATTTCGCTTTCTGCGCGTCCGTGCCCCATCTATGAATCTACGCACTTAGGGGTGAATCAGCAACTCAAGGCCTTCGCTCATGGGATCCGTACCTGGTTCACGCAAAGATTTGAGTGTGCACCGTAAGAGAGTGCGACAGAGCCTGATGCACGGGAGAGCTCTTCCATAGCAAGAGTATGGTTAAAATATCCAAGAGAGAGTCCGCCATACTCCGGTGCGACGGTGATACCCAGGAGGCCCATATCTCCCAGCTTCTCCCACAAGTCCTAGGAAGAAGAGAGGGCGTTCAGCTACTAATGTGTGCATCAAAATGTATCGAGGACGGTCTCGTCGAACCAGGCGAACAGGCACTTACAGTCGGGAAGTTATTGCTCCTGTCGATCTCAGCTGCCCTCGGGGCGACCTCACGTTCCGCAAAATCCGCCACTGCGTCCCGGAACTGGAGAAGACTGTCGGATCAGGTATGTGGCGTGTTCTGCAGACGCACCTCTGCCTGCTCCTCGCTGAGGCCGGCGATGTCTGCATTGTAGTGAGACGCGTTTCTGCGCTGTTCCACGAACGACTGCAAGGCTGAGCGGCGACATGCTGGGCGAGCGAGAGAGCGGGTGGTGGAGGCCCAGACGAGACGGTTCATTGGCTATGTGCTGTGCAGTGGCCTTGATACAGTTTGTGATTACAGGCCGAGTAAGTATGGGGTAACCCCGCTTCGGTTTATGATTGAGCGCTTTCGCTAGCTTTTTCCGCACGTGATTGACGCGTCTTGTCGGAGTCGCGACAGTCAAAAACAGTCTGAGGCCCGTCCTCCTCTTCCTCCTCATCCATCCATCGGCGGCCAAAGTTATTTTGTTGTTTAACTACAGCAATACTACCGCGTAAATATGTGCTTCTGTCGAGCCTTGATTGTGCCTGGGACTTGGATGGTCTCGTTCAGATTCAAGACTCGACTGAGGCACAAGCTGACACTTTTTGTTATAAAGCCGCGGGCTGCTTTTGTCGCTCTCATCGCTCTTGAATACGGCTACCTCAGTGCACAATTGCGATCTTGCTTAACAGCATTCTAATAACTCTTCCCTTCTCTTAAATTGTTTGTATCTTCTCTAGGTCGTCAAATGCTCTCTTCTCAGGCAACGCTTCCTTCGGCCCCCGTGCCCAAGCTGCCAGAGGTGCCAAACATGTCTGATTTCCACATCATCACTCCCTCAGAGCGCGAGTCCTCTCGCAAGAACCAAATGCTGCACGCGTTCCAGCGCTTCCTTGCAAAGTCTTCCGGAGGCTCCTCGTTCCGCTCTACTCAGAGGAACCGGAATTCTAATGCAGTTTTATCTTCACCTATTCCAGCTACCACACCCTCCTCTACTGTCGTCCAGCAACAGCAGAACGCCACGGAAGCTCTCTCGCTTGGGCTTCCGAAGCCGTCCCTTCCACGCATCGGGGTCGTCAATATCAGCGACATCTCCCGCATTCGCACTCCACAGGCTTGCGAGAGATGCCGCGAAAGGAAGACGAAGGTGAGGCGTCTGCCTCGACGCGCTCTGCACTTCGTTCACCCTTGCATCCTTCTAGTGCTCCGGCACCCGCCCGACGTGCAAGCGCTGCTTCCACAGCGGAGCACAATGTGTTTATGTGCTTGACCACAAGGCTAATCGGGCGCAACTGAGGAAGCTGAGAGAAGCTGCCGGCTTCTTCCCCAAGGGCCTCCGTCCGGCTCGTAAGGAAGGCCGCACTCAGCGTAAACCCTCTCCCTCTAAGCTCGACAATCTCCTTAGAATGTGGAGGTCCGATGCTTTGAGCTCATCCGAGTCGCCCAAAACGGCTGTACCTGCGTTGTCGCACAATGCACCTCAGTAAGTTGTCGTTGCAAGCCTGAAAGAATGTCACGAAGCCATTGACGCTGTTGTTAGACCCACAGAAATGATCGCTCAGCAGGTCACACCCGATCCTCTGGCAAGTATGTACTATCCTGTATCAGAGGAGTCGCCCTTCTCTCAGGTTCCGTCTCCCTCTGCGCCTTCAGTCCTGGATAGCTCGTACTCGTTCATGGAAATGGATTCGAAGATTGACGCTGCAGTGACGATGATGATGGCGAACGAGAACATCGTTCTGCCTCAGGATATGACAAAGGACTGGGACTCGCTTATGCTCGCGCCGCCCGCCATGCCGTCGCTCTCGAATTCGTCCGAAGCGTCTTCTAGCTCCGGTTGCTCTCCGCTTCCTACACCCGTCGATCTGGATATCGTCATGGCAGACATGTTCGGGCCGGATGCTGTCGCGGCACCCGCCTTACCCGTCAGGGCGGGCCCCTTCGCTCCCGAGCTGCCCAGCTCCGACTCCGAGCTCGAGCGGGAGCTCGAACGCGAGATGGCGGAGATCTTCGGCTCCACGAACGACGATGGGACTGTGAAGTTCGGCCTGGCACGTCCGATCGAGCCCATGCCCGTCCGTCCCGAGCATTTTGGTCTGCCTCTGGACGTGCCAGTCCCTATTCTCCCCTTCCCGGGGCGTTCGTTCCCGCCCGTCAACACGACCGGCGCATACTTTGACGAGAACATGTTTGAAGCGTTCCGCCCCAGAGCTCCCGCGTCGATGGCTCGGGTGCCGGAGATTAAGGTAGACATGGACAACGTGCCTGCAAGCATGAACGTGGTGCCTGGCATGAACAATGCCGACAATGATGAATCGCAATCGACGTTCGACGAGATATTCAATCTCGCCGGTGGCCAGCCGGAAGTGCCGCCATTTTCGAGTGGAAAACTCTCCACGATCGTGGAGGACAGCTCGGAGGCGTGCACGGATGGAGGGCCATCGACCAATTCGGAGCTGGACGCGCTGTGGACGGACTTGTTTGGCGTTTCGGATGGCGCGAACGGGGATCAATGAAGGTATCCGCGTCCGCCGTACGATCGTGAACTTGAAGTCTATTCGCTGATGGACTCTGACAATTTTCTTTCTTTTCCGTCTCGTTTTCCTTCTTATTCGGATATGAACGTGGACCATCGGACCGCATCTGTTCTTCTCGTATCGTCTTTGTATTCTTTTCATCTCCGTCTTCTCTCGTTGATTGGACAGACGTTCTTGGACTCTTCTTTTCTCGAACTCTTCTCATGCGGTGTTTAGATCCGAGACTGGTGAAACGTTATTTGTTGTCCTTCAGGTGAGTGTCTCATCTTCTTCAGTATAAGCAGGGCGATACTGTGGTATGGAGATATGATGCTCGGCATGGCTGCGGACACCGGACGAAGATCTATCTGACTGCATCCAAGGGTCAGTACTACTATTTTCTGACAATCAATGTCACATTTATCATCTCAGCGCGGAAGATGGCTTCCCGAGACAAAGACAACGCTCGACAAGGGTGGCTCGTTGCACGGCGACGTCACTCGCACCTCGCATTCGTCTTATCATCGACTCTACGTGTCCCGGTGGGACAAACGTCGACTTGGGCCACCGGAGAGAAGACGGGAGGACGGATAACAGATGCATGATGTGTGCGATTTTGTTGCTTGGAATAAAGAAAAAGAACGTGGGCCACGTAGTACGCGCGAGACAAAGTAGGGCGAGCTGCATAATCGGAATTTCCTCTTGCATTCTGCGCCTCGATTCGCGCTCGACCGTCGGATTTATTCTTGGTTCCCTACAGGCGCTTTCAATTATAAATCGATCCAGAAAAACAATAATACACCCTGGTCCCTCAGGGATTTGTTTCAATGCCGCTGATAGGTCACTGGAGTATAGCTGCACCTATGGATGTTGTGCAATCCGTATGGGTGTGAGACTGCTTTGGCACAAGACATGCCTGTGCGCCTCATGTGCATGGGCTAGCGAAGAGCCGACAGTGGTATTTCAGTATAATGGGTTGTGCGCTCAATTCAACAGGGGGTAGCAGCGGATTTCATCCAGTGAAGTCTGGGGGAGACACCACGCGTCTCATGCCTTACTGGTCGTGTCCAACTACCGGGGAATCCCTATGGTCCACAACTCCAAGGCGATCTTACTGCGGTTAAACTCCCCCGTACGTCCGCAGAGTGTTCGAATTCATCGCACATGTACTCCAGGTCATATCAATACCGCCTATGATCTCTCCTGAGTGAATCCACAAGACGTGGCCTTCGGGATCAATGGGATACAAATCCACTGGAGGGAGAATGTAGCCTTTCTTTGTATCTTTTTATTATCCGCGAGGGCCAATTCCTATGTAGATAGTATGTGCGGCGTGTACGTCGGCAAAGGTAGCCTTGCTGGAGCTCGTATGAGCATTGAAAAGACAAAGTTCTCGCTGCCTCTGCGCGTGTTCGCGCGTGTATGGCGCCGATCGAAGAGAATTTGGATGTCCCCACGGTTCAAAGAGCAAAAAAAGGAACAAGAGGACTCACATTCAGCCCATGGCATTGCCTCTATGATTGGTAGACGATGGGGAAGTTGACATGACACATACGTAGAATGCGTCCTGTGCCACATTGTCGTCGCTGGCGGGGACTGCTTCGGTGATTACGAGTCTCTAGACAAGCTCGCTGTGTAGACTTTCATAGTCCAGGCGTTATATCAGACGACCGACTCGGTCGTATGAACCGAGGGTGTGCTGTTCATGATGGTCAGGAGTGAAGTGACTATATGCGTTCTAGTGATCTAGATGCGGTCGGCCGCGTGGCGGAATTACACGCGAAAGCAAGCCTGAGTGCTATGATCGAACGTTGAACGTCTCGTCATGTCTGAACAACACCACATCTCTGACACATCCCCTCAACACTGGAAATACGTTGCTGAGGGCGGTGTCTCCGTTGCTTTCTCGTATAATGGCCCTCCGCATCCGTTTTATGACGGAAAGGTTCTAAAACTGCGAAAGGTCTCCAAACACTCTGGCCTCTTCCATCCACATTCTGAATTCGAGGACTTTGAGGATCTCGAAGGACTGGCGGTCGCATTTGACAGCGCCATACTTCAGCGTTTGGTGCCTCGAGAATACTTCCCGCGATGTGAAGCCGTGCAAATGGACAGCGAGTGGCTGGCGCAGCTTAAGCTTCTCTGTGAAGCCCAGCGACCCTCGGAACGAAGACTTCGAGATGAGATTGATGTACGCAGAAATAAAGCGATTCTAATCGAGGACCTTGTTGGATGGGATGGCATGACGGTGGAGATCAAGGTACGCTGACTATATGCTGTCCGACTGGTAGATTGAGCTGTCGCCTTGCAGCCAAAATGGGGATTCCTCCCATCTCCCACGCATCTCTCACAATTGTCATGTCCTGTGAAGACGCGGACTTGTCGTTTCTGTATGCACGCTCACATGAAGAGCACCCAAGGTAATGATTCCGCGCTTGGGTTTTGTCCGCTTGACCTGTACTCTGGAGAGGAGCTGCGAGTCCGCTACGCTCTTTCTGCATTGTGGGATGTGTGGCTTTCCACCTCAGGAGCCATCAACAACATGAGGGTCTTTGTCAAGGGCGTCTTCATCAAGCCTGTTTCAAACGTGAGTGTTTTCCCGTTCTGAATTCGGCCCTTTGCCTCCTGAACGATGGCATCCTTCTTCGTTTCACAATAGTCTGCCGTTTTGGCTTTTATGCTTGGATTCAAAGATCCCGCTTCACCAGACCAATCGCCTCCATCAATGGCAGAGATTCGCGATCGCTTCGTCTCGGCACTTGTCCCATCGCTCGTCAAAACACCAGTTCTCGGATTAATTTCATCACTTCAGCGCACCCTTGACTCCTTAGACATCGAGGGTCTTGCAACCCTCTGGGAGCACTCTCACGCAGAGTCCCAGCCCGCCATTCCCTTTGGTACCAACACTACACAACCTACAGTCGGCGAATGGAGCGAGTTCGCTGACGAGTATCTTAGGAGGTCTGCCTCTGACTTCAATAAGGAGCCGCTACCCGACGAGCTACGATATCACTGTCTATCTTATCTGCTCTCTGCGACGTTTAAGGACTGCTCCCTTATGCTCCGCCTGCCTTTATCCTCTTTCCAAGACGATCAAGCGAAAGTCCAAGGCTCGATCAAGGTTATCGATCTAGATGTAAAGAGTATTTCGCGCCTGGATAAATGGCGTAGGCTTGACAGAGCCATCGTGATGACCTACATCAAGGTAGCAGAGCCCCGCCGCTGCATAGATCAACGAGGGTGAGTACCACTCGATGTTCAAGGCGTTTCACTCTTGCCCGTGGTGGAAATGTCTCCCCAGGTCGACCCCGAAGCCTCGATATCCGAAGTAGGTCAGGAACTAAACGTGAAAAAACTGCATTCGTAGTACTGGTTGTTATAGGGAGTATGCCCAAAATAGCGGCTGTCCGTGGCCATATTTTCGTTCGCTGGTCACCTGAGCTCTGCGATGATTCGTAAGTTTCAGTACCTTTTGATTGGGAGGATGTTGAGTATCGTCCTGGGATCAGTACTGTCCAGTAGGGCAATCACGCAGTGATGTGAACGATTAGATTACAATGCCCTGCACGGAACCCCCGACGGAGCCGTCATTCAAGATCACACGACGTCCATAGCTTTCAAAATTCTCGTCAAACATTATGTGTCGCAATGTAGACAATAAATGCAAGCATGTCTGTAAAGGAACTTCAGGACCCGATGAGATCCATACGGCATCATTCCTCCAGTTATGCTTGGTCCTATATCTCTCTCAAGCCGCTTCTCAGGCGCGGACCTGATTTTGGATGTCAGGGCTCGTCTAGGCAGAACGTAAAAGACGGCTACCTTCACTGAGAGCAATCAGTGGGGAAGGGGGGCTCTCCATAGTAGTTCGTGTAGGTGTAAGTCTCCGTATACGTCGTAGTGTAAAAGGTTGTCGTAGGGGTGTACGTCGGGTATCCCACCCAGACCGTACCAGAGATCGTGTCCGTCTCCGTGATGGTCTCCGTAGCTAGAGGGTAACTGACGAGCGTTTCGACGAAGGTGGTGGTCTCAAAGGGCCCGGTTGTGGTGGGGGCGATGATGGACAACGTCTGGGTGAACGTCTCCTCGTACGTCACTGGGCATTGTGAGTTTATGGTCTATAAAATCTGTGCTGAGCAATCGCATAACCGTTGGCAGGTCGGCCATCTCTTACCGTCGCAGGGGCGGCGAGGACCCCAGTAATGCTGGTGAGGGCGAATGCAGCGGCGGTGAGAAACTTGCTGGCGAGCATCTTGTCGATTGCTGAAGGGTTTTCCACAGAATTGAGCGGGGAAATCTGGACCAGCAACACGACAAACAGGCCTGCTTTATAACGTGAACACGTTATACCGTAAGAGCTGCACAGTCATGCATGCGGGAATGACCTCTGGATCCCCAGCCGCTCTCGATGAGGTCTGCGTCTGTAGAGGATCTCTCCATGCGGATAATGGCGTCGCCTCCGTATGTTCAGCAGTCGCCGTAAGACAAATAGGGAGGATTGTCGCGTGCCTGGATGGAGGCGCTGTTGCCAAGAGATGCAAGATGCCATTCACTACAGAAAGACTGGCTTCGCGAGCATTCGGGAGAAGCCCAACCCAGGCGCGAGAAGAGTGCTAACGTTCCAGCGACCAACATTTGGCCCTCGCATAGAAGTTAGACCTGTGTTGTGGTAGAAGCGTGTGTGAGTTCACAGCTGTCGGATGTCAAATAGACTGCAGGGTCACTGACCACTTCTCTGCTGTCCTTCAAGCTCCAAGTTACAGCGGGTGTCCGACGGTGATGTCCAGTTGATTGCACCATCAGACGGGTCGCCGGCGCCGACATTGCAGTGGTTTGCTTGGCAAGTAACGGGATGCGATTCGCCTCACCGAGAGAAAGTGACTTCAGCCTTCAGTAATCTATAAGCGTCCCCGAGAGCGGTGTTTTATGCAGACGAATTATAATCAACCTGGCATGTCTCGGGACGTCAAACAGCAGTAACGCTCAGCTCTTCATGTATGAACAATCTCCACTGAGTCCAAGCTCAGGCACAAGCCCATCAACGCATTGAATTGGATGCCCGCTCAGCACCAGCAGCCCGAGCGCCAGTAGCGTCAGGCATGACGAATCGGCCGGGTTGCCACAATCAAGTAGACCAGATGACGAGCGTACTCGCCGGGACCGACTCGGCCGGATGATGGTCTTGAGAAGTTGATTCCGAGGATAGCCAGTTTCGGGAGTTTTGTCACAGTCCAATCCCACTGCCGAGCTCGGTTACCCCGACCGCCCGAAGAATCTCAGGCCTCAAGGCGTACTCTTGAATGCGATGCAAGCATGTGCTCTGAAATCGTGAGATTTCACGCAGTCACGCGAAAAATGGGGGTCCTTGAGGATCGGAGATATGTTTTCGACAAGGAACCATTCCACGAAAGACACAATGCCAGTGCAGCAGGTGAAATTTTGGGCCTGGGAACATGTATATGTACGCATAAAAATGCAGGCCTATCACAGTGTAACTTGCGTCCGAACATGGTTGAAGATTTCTGGGGAGCCGTCGCGCCAGACGTGATGCATGAACTTAAGATGCACTGACTCCTATGTTTGCGTTCGCAAGGCCAGACCTGCTGCTCTCCATGTTTCGCTGTTCTGAACTCTTGAGAATCGAGCTCAAGACTGGCTTCCACAGGATAAATTATATCAAATTCTCTCAATTATTTACGCCGTAAATGGCTCACCGTCATAAGTGTTGCATATGGATAGCAGAGTGCCGCGTCGCTGATGAGTCGTAATCTTAGATGAACCACTGCCGCCAGACCCAAGACTGCGACTTACTTTGAGAGACCTCTGAATAAGCGAACTCGAGACATAGTCGCTCGGGTGATGAGGTTCGACGGTTCATAGAGGCACAGCCCGACATCTCTTCCCGAGGGAATCAAGAGCAAGGTTGCATATACCAAAATTGATGCAAAGTGCAGGGGGGAATTCGGACCACATTCCATACGGTAGATTTATACGGAGGCCGTTGTCCGACCAAACTATGCTGAAGATCCCCGGTACCCCGCTGACTGCTACCAGTAAAGGTCTGTGCGTGTCTCATGATCTAACACGTAGCCTTTTCTACAGGAAATTTCACAAGCCCATCGCCGTTGTGGTATCACCTTTTATGAGAAACACATCCAGGGAGATCAAGTAGCCACGTTAATTGGAATCAGAGATGAATAGAGTGCTCTTGCGCCTCTGATGGTAGTCGGCTCTCCCTCCCAAACTGTGTCCTTTTAGTCTCTGTTGCCGATGGGCAGCTGACGACAGTGTCGACGATGTGGAAGTCACAGAAGATTATCCAGCCGGGCCATATCACGACCTTGTCACACAACACGACCGCGTTGAAAAGCGTTGTTTAGGCTCGAGATGCCCCCTGAATTCACGAGTCAGCGAAAAATTCGGGTTTGCCGGTCATCAGAATTTTTTACGTCCCCTCAACGGAAATTTGGTGGGAGCTGAAGCCATCAATACATAGTACAATCCGAAAAGCAGATGTAAGCATATCTGCCGGCGTACACATCCCATCGATAGACTAATCCATTTGGGAATCCTCCAATTTGGAGCTCTCAATGGCAACGACGGCACCGCTAAGTTCAACCGTTAGCGTCCGCGTACTGTTTGAGAAACAGAAAGTATATGCGCCTTTACTGCGAGCATTCGGTGGGCCACGGAGGCTCTCCGTAATAGTTCGTGTAGACGTACGTTTCAGTGTACGTGGACGTGAAAAAGGTCGTTGTCGGCGTGTACGTCGGATACCCCACCCAAATCGTGCCGGAGAACGTATCTATCTCGGTTATTGTCTCGGTGGCCAACGGGTAGCTGACCTCCTGCGCGGTGATCGTGGTGGTCTCGAATGGGCCCGTGGTGGTCGGCGCGATGATAGACAACGTCTCGGTGATCGTGGTGTAGTAAGTGAAAGGACACTGTGAGTTGATCGTCTAAAATTTTCTGGTTCAGTTGACTAGTTTCACGACAAATGTCAGGAATTCTTACCGTCGCAGGAGCCGCTAGAGCACTACCGATGCTCATGAGAGTGACGGCAGTGGCAGCAAAGAACGTTTTGCATAGCATTTTGTGGAGATGTCTCTGCGGAAATCAGACACCTATGGGAAGAGGTAGGACAAGCAATGATTTGTTTTATACTGCACATGCGGGATACCGTGAGATGGCGCAGTCATACATTCGTCAGAAAAAGGCTTTTGTGCCCCAGCACTGTCAAGCTTGACTTGCACGCTTCCATGACACATGCAGAGTATAGTGATGGATACCCACGACCAACAACGAAAATCAGATGAAGAGTCTGAAGGACCATCAATTATCGAGTACGCGTTCATCATGGGAGGTTTGAACCATACAAAATTATGGAGAAAGACTAGATGTTCGACGCACGTTTTGCTTGGCAAGCTAAACCGAATAGAGATTGCTGCAACGGTATAGAACCGTGCTATATACCCAGTGAACGCAGAGCATGTCGTCGTCGTTAGTGCGATGGTAAACAGCAAAAGCACGACTGTATGTTGATGCTGCTTACGCATCCCGCATGCAAGCATTTCGAATTCGGGTCAATATAAGCTTGGCGAGGGAGCCCAAACCCATCATTGGAAAGGCGAGCTGAGGACTGAATTCTGCGGGTACAAATCCAGCGATCCGTTAGCAATCCGAGCACTTGCTCGCAGACTCCGGGCCCGTACAAACGTAATCTATAACCAGAAGCTTCAAGCGCCAACAGACATTAGTACCAGGAGATGACACACCTGTGTTTAATATGAAAGATCATGGGTCATGTTCAATTGAATGCTCGCTCAGCAGCACGTCTCCTGCCTGCCAACAATGCCTAGCATGACAAATCAGAGATGGTCGAAGTAAAGACAGCAGGCGGCATTTGATGGACCGGGGCCAACAGCCCTCGGCCGAGCTTGTTTCTAGGGATTTCTGATGGCCAGGATGTCCGAATCAGGACAGTTGCTCACATTCAGCCGTGAAGCCCGGAAAATTAGCACGGCTCAAAAACACTGCAAGGCAACATTGGATGCACAGGAGTAAGACAGACGGAAGATGTGTCGGTGTCATCGACTGCACCTGATTCATCTCAACCCGAGTCATCGTTAGGAGAACAAAGCAGACTGCTCCCATCCATGCATCTGGTGCCAACAAGTTGCGTTCAATAATAGCCTCCTGAGGCATAATTTGGATAGGTACGCCTGACGACAGCCGATGAGCAAATATAGTTTTCATAAAGACGCGCAATAGCCAGACGGGCATGAGGATATGGATATCTGTGACTTCAATGCGAGGGGATCAATGAGCCGAGAGACAACGCCCGACGCTGGAGGTGGATGTCAAATGTCATCGGTCCGAGTCGTGACATATCGCGACACTTTGAAACTAACTTCAATGAAGCACGGCTTGACTGCTGCGCTGCTGTTGGCGATGGCCCCATACATTGCTCGGAACTCCTCTCATAGAGCACTCCAGGTAGCTGCCCGATCGCTTCATAAAGACTTCCAGTATACCCGTCAATTGGTGAGGCGAACTTCGATACAACCACCGACCCCAACCGCTCTGTCATGGCGCGAGGGCTCGAAGAGGACAACAAGACTTGAGCCCGTCTGGTGGTCACTCCGATATTGAACCCACGGCAACACCTATCTTTCGTTCGTCTGGTCTAACAAAGTACATATCCTACGTTTACAATTGATTTCTCCCCCACCTGCGCCATGCGCCGATACCATGTCTACCCAATCGAACTACCCAAACCGCATGGAGTGGGGTGTGATCAGTCGAGGTCCTCGATCAACGCTCGCACTAATAGTGCGCGCATGTGGAGGTCATCACGCTTGTTCTTACTGCTGCTCTGCGCCTTGCGCCCCTGGGTCGAACCACCTTGGGTACTCTTGCGCGGATTTGCCCCAGTGAGCCCTGTCTTGTCTACCCAGTGTTCTCGCATTATGATGCCATTGCTCCGGAACTACCGTGTTGTCACTCCTTTCTCGGGCCACCAGATACGTCCTATATGCTCTTCATGACATGACATTGATAGTGCATTGTATACTTCCTCCAACCTTCGCTCTTGCAGACCAAGACACGGTGTAGCGCTCCACTATGGACTGCCAAGAAAAGATGGATTGTATATGCAAATAAGTTAGTCTCCAATATTGTGTAAGGCTGAAATGTACAGTATGTATAACAAGATGCTCTACCCGCCCCGAACCTGTGTCAGTGTCACCGCATCGCCAACGGTTCATTTCAAAAGACCACCGCTGCGGTGCCCGACGCGTCGCCTTCGCCATCCTGCTGGCCCGACTTGTCCGTGCGCACTTTCTTCGCCCAGCGCAAGCCGCACGCGTTGCAGAGCGTCTTTGGGCCGAGCGGGCCCTAGCGCACACCAGCTGAGTGAGTGACCTTCAACAGTGAGAGCAAACAGGATGCACACACCTTCCGCCACTCGGGCGAATCCGTCCTCCCGCACGTCACGCAGACGTACTGCTCTCCTGTCATGAACGTCCGCTTCACCTACCGCACACGAACATTCGTCAGCCGATCGTAGACCTTAGGGTCGAGCGCCGCACGCACCTTCTTCCGCGGCCCACTCGCTTCCCCGTCGTCCTCCCCACCGAGGACTTCGCTGAACGCGCCGACGCCTGTGGAGGCCCCCTCGACGCCCGCGCGGCTCAGGGACGGGAGCGCCATGTCTTCATACACGCCGTAAAACCCCTCTCCGTTTTGCGTCCCCCCGAGCGGCTGCGCGAGCTGGGCGCCGGCGGGGGCAGCTGCGTCGAGGGCGCCGGGAGACGCCCCAGCCTGCGCGCGGAGCTGGACGAGGCGCTGCTGGAGTCGCTCGTTCTCCATCTTGAGCTCGAGGAACGTGTTGAGCCTGCGTGCTCGAGCGGAGCGCACATCAGCCGCTGCAGCCACTCGAAGTATGTGCGCGCGGGGCGGGAGACTCACATGGCGGTGTTGCGGCTCGGGTACGGCTTTGCGACCGCGAAGAAGCACTGGAAGGCGTCCGTGTCGGGGAGGACGTGCGGGCGGCCGGTGATCTCGAAGAGGACCTCGCGCGGGCGGGACGAGTAGTCGTTCGCCATGTAAAAGTCGTTCTTGCACTGCAGCCGCGCATACGCGAGCATCGCGCGCCGGGTGCGCACGCTCTCCTCGAACGCGCTGCGGAAGCTTGCACGGTCGTCCGCTGCCATACGCACGCCATCGCACGCCGCGTCCGGTCCAAGCGTGCGCGTTAGACGTTGTGCGCACGGAGAGGGGCTCGATGAGACGCACCGTTCATGAGCTCGGCCAGGTCCCCGTCGACGAGCTCGTCCTCGCGCCAACCGAGCAGCTCCCCCACCGCGGTGCCGCAGTACCACACGCGGCCCACGGCAGACAAGACGAGGAGGATCGCGTCGCTGAGCTCGTTGACGAGCAGGTCCGCCCAGCGCTTGCGCTTCGTGAACTCGAAATTCTGCAAGTCACGCGCTACCGCGGTCTGTGGTCCCTGTCCCAGTGATTGTCGGGCGGCCGCTGCGGTGGTGGACGCAGGGGAGATAGAACTGGTGCTTGTGCTCGGATTTGAGCTGCTGCTCCCTGTGCTGCCGTGGGACATGGTGCTGGAGGGGTGCAGAGCAGCGTGGGGCATGGCATCCGCGAGGGACATGGTGATCTGCTCGGGGTAGGATTTGGACTAGAAGGGCGAAAAAAGGGAGGGGCGATGGGCGAGGAGGGGAGTTCCCTCGGGTGCAGAGCTCATTAGGTTCTGTCAGGGTGCGGCGCTTTCCATATCCGTATGTTTCTCCACTTCCCGCACGTGTCCTAGCCGACGTAGTTGAGGTCAAACCTCAGTTTTCACCCATCACTGGTCCTGAGCCCAATCCATCAGAGATCTCCTCCAATAGAGACTCCAGTAGTAAGTGGCCATCCGTCATAGATCCCAGGCAGCCAATACCACGATATTACGAAAATTGCTGTAGTGTCCAATCCATGGGCAAACGCGGTGGATCTGTTATCCCAAGCGCAACAGGGGCAATGCATTCTGTCTCAATCTGCATCACATTACCGCTCAAATAGGCGTGCACAAGCCGTATTTTATAGGCCTTGTTGTCAGGGCAGAAGCACCCTTCGCGAGGACCGTAGTGCTTGAAGAACAAGAACAGTCAGACGCACCAAAACTGTTGCCGTGGATGATAACGCCATCGCATATGGCTCGGTCTTCTGGACACCAATCATTCCAAAAGCAGCTCTGGGAGAGGATCCTTGACGGCTGCCCGGATTCGAATGAGGGTATCCCCCTTGTCACACAGATCCTCCAAGCTTAGAGAAGATGAATCCAAGTCCAGTGCAGCTGCGATTGGCAGTGAACACTTTTGCGTATGGAATTGTGCGTTATCATGACACAGAGGACGACGGGATGGATGCAAGTCTACTATCTGCTTTGACCGAGATCATTCGCGTGCAGTACAGATGTGGCTTCTCTTGTGGCTTCGTCCATAGCGTCCGATCAGATGTTTTTTCTTCGGGTGGTTTGACCATCATCGAGTTCACAAGGAGATGTACCGCCTGCAATTTATTCCGCTTGTCGGCATCATTTTGCGCATTCAGTCAAGAGGGAAGTAGAGTGGCATCCTACAGTGCCCAAGAACTGATGAACACCATTGTTCGGTCCGATCAGTGTTGGTGTATTGGCTATATGCCTGCATTTTCGGGTGGGGTCAATACTACTATACACTGCAGCAGGTTCCTTCGTTGCACTTCACACTGCACTTTTTCTTGGTCACATCCGGACGGTCTCGTGCCTGACTTGGTATGCATTGCCGCTTGCGCATGCAAAGGAGATGATTGAGGTGGGTGCTTTCTATATTGCCTTGGCTTTCGTTGCTCATTCGCCATAAGTATGCTGATGATCCCGAAATTTTTCCTTGTGCTTCCGGTTTGCTGCTATCCCATTCGAACATTTAATGAGCCCACGAACACACGCATCTTTCGTTCATTTGATCTAATAAAATACACATCTACTACTCTCGCCCGCCCGCGTCATTCATCCCACGCGAATTCGGATGTAATCAGTCGAGCTCCTCGAGCAATGCTCGCACTAACAGCGCGCGTGTGTGAAGATACTCGCGCTTCCCCTTTGGAAAGGGTTTTTTGGTGTACTTTTTTGAGCCAGGAGTAGGCAGCTCAGGCGGCGGGCCCAGTTCACCGAGACCAACTCCAAGACGGGCCGTTCGTTTGCCAGCCTTCCACCTATAGTAGTCCAACAAATATTTATCATAGTTGCGTTCGTCTTGTTGCCGGAGGGCCATTTCTTTTGGGGAAGGCTAATGAAATACCTGCCTATTAGTGCAATGCTGGCAAGGACAGCAAAGAGACTACACACCGGCTCGGTACCTGAAAGTGAGGTATATCCCTAGTTGCCGCGCAAGCACCACACGTGGATAGTAATACGCATGATCAGCCAAGGATCAGGTTAACAGCACGACGGAGTATCTCCCTGTGAGC